AGTACCAATGGAGGGTCCCATCCATATGTTGCCTTTCTGGTCAGGAGAATCCCAGTTCCTGCCTGCCTATGTTAGCAGTGTTTCAACTTTCCCAGATCGCCTGAGGCTCTTAAGTCACAAACCCTTCACCCAGACCACCAGCCCAGGAGCAGCACCAGCCACAATGAACTGGCCTCACAGGCTCGCCCACAGGCCGATCTGGCGGACGCATTTCCTCCACTGAGGTTCCCTCCTCCCAAATGACTCTAGCTTGTGTCAAATTGACATAAAAACTAGCCAGCACACTGATCATTCCCAAGTAAAATAAAAAAGAGCTTGAAGGTGGGGATGGAGAACAGGGGTAAGGGGTGTCATCTTAGACTTTACCCATTGAACTGCAAGCCTGGGAGGGCTAGAAAACACCGGTCAATCTCAGCGGACCAGAAAACTGGTGCTTGAGTATGCATGTCCTATTCAAGAAAGACAACAGGAAGTTTCTGCAGACCTGGCTCCATCCAGAAGCTCCTGATCTGGCTCCTTTCCTGGGCTTCTTCGGGTCAAGGACCTTCTCCGGGAGTCTCAAGACCTGCTGTGTTTCGTCATACTAAATTAAGTTTTCTTCCATCCTATGAATAATCAAGTCTTCAGTGAGGCGGTTGGGTGGCTGTGAAGATGACTTCTAGGTTCTGCACATACTCTGAAACCTCTGCTCCTGGGCAAAACTTCCCCAAAACTACAGTGACACACATTCTCAGAGAACAGGGGAAAGAGCAATAGGCCTTGTGTAATGGAATGTTTTCCAGGCAGAGAGTAGTGGCCTGAGTCCTTTCGGGCCATGGCCTGCATCAGCAGGAGCCAACTTGACATAAGGAGAAAAGCCCCTTCGCTTGGAGCTAAAGGTCATCATCACTTTTAAAGTCTCAGTTTCTGCAGTGGCAGAACAGAAACTTACCGAATACAACAGCCTGAGGGTTATGTGAGAGAAGGTCATGGATCCTCACTCTGTAAAGTTGGCAGGTCTGATACTCTATCAGCAGCCCCCAGCTGGCCTTGAACTTGTGGCAATGGAGAATGTGCTTGGAATACGGAAGTCACATAGAAACCTGTCAGTTGTTGGAAGCCTGGGACCATGGCTGATGGACCCTAGAGTCTGAGTCCCTACCTCCAAAACTCGCCAAGTAGGTGGTTAGTAAGTGGTTGCTGGTTGATGGATGGACAGACTGACACAGACTGACACCTAAGAACAGGCTAGCATCTCAACACAACCTCAGCACAGTAGCACAGAGTGCTTCATGTCAAATCACAAACCAGTGAATGCCCCCTCATGTGCCAAATACAGCCTAGCCCATGGGCAGGTATCAAAGCCAGAAATCTGACCCAGAGGCCACATCACTCTGAAATGAGGCCAAGTTACACAGCGTGGCTCTCTCTGCCCTCTGAACTGCCAACTTCAGCGACCCTTTTGAAGTTTGACTGAGGGAAACTTGTGACCATAGTGTTTCTTCTGACCACCGCTGCCTTCCTCCCTCACCAAGGCCACCCCTGCCACCCTCTAGGTACCTCTGTTCCCCACAGGCATCTTCACTGGCTCCCACCTAGGCTATGTCAGCCTGTCCCCCTAGTTAACCCTTGCAATGTTGTAATGCAATATTGTCTTTCATTATTTCCTAAATACCATGAAATACGCGACGTATAAAGCCATTAAAAAGTAATGCAATGAAAGCTTTGCTCCACCACACACAAAACATTACCCATCAATGTTTGTTAGCTCCCAAAAGTCTTCTCTACCTATGCGGACTTCCAAGCCCAGATGGACTCTGTGGTCAGTATCTAATAAAGGAATAACAAGGAAGAAAGGGTCATCACCTCAGGGAAAAGTTAAAGTCGCCCACCCATCAGTCTACAGCTACTAAGCACCTGCTACCCCTGTGCGCATGGGTGAACAGCCTCCACTTCCGTAAAGCGATCCGTTTCGAAAGGCCAGAGTTGGAGCTGGGCAAAGATGCCCTATTTTATTTTTATTTTTGGCTCCTGCTGTGGACTTGCCTTTGTACAATACATTGGAGTGCCTGCGATGGCCCAGTTGGAGACTAAGAACTCACAGGAGTCACTGTCACACACAAACTACATGCTCATCAGTGCTTGAACCACATCGGTCCTCGGGGTGCCATGGGCTCTCATGAGAGGCTTCTCCTGTGCTAGCAAGGCAGCAGTCTCAGGGACCTGGCTTCAGCTTCTTGCTAGAGACACAACACACGTGCTTAATAACTGAGAGGAAATAATAGTAATAGTGATAATAATAAATAGAATGAGAGAGAAATGTCTGAGATAAAAGGTCCCCAATATGCTCATTTGTTTGAATACCTGGTCCCTAGTTGGCCATTTCCAGTTCTCTCTCTTTCTCTCTCTGTTTCATGGACCCCACCACAATGGTCATGGACTCACCCTCTAAAACTGTAAGCAAGCCCCTAATTAAATGATTTCCTTTGTAAGTTACCTGGGTTGTGGTGTCTGTTCATGGGAATAGAAGAGGAAATAAGACAAATGATACAGCACCCCCCAAAAACTTGTACACAAATATTCATAGCAACAATACTCATTATGGCTAAACAGTAGAGACAATCCAAATAGCCAACCGGTGATGGATAAAAGAAATGCGGTATGTCCGTGCAATGGAATATTATTTGACCATAAAAAAGGGAACGAAGACTTGAACCATACTACATAGAGCGGAACCTAATTAAAAGAAGACAGACACTAAGGTCACATACGGCATACATCTGTTTATGCAAAATAACCAACGGAAGCAAATCTAGAGAAAGAAAGTAGATCTGTGGCTATGAGCAGCTATGTGGATAGGCAGAAAAGAAATAGGAATCATTGGAAATAATGGCAGGAGATTTGACTAAAAAAATGACTCAGAAGGTACTGTGGTGAAGTAATCTCTGTGACTGTATAAACACCATAGAACTGTCTACTTTAAAAGGGAAAATGTTGGGGCTGACGAGATGGCTCAACAGTTAAGAACACTTGATGCTCTTGCAGAGGATCTAGGTTCGGTTCCCAGAGGATCTGCTACCTTCTTCTCACCTCCACAGGCGCCAGACACAATGTGGTACACATAAATACGTTCAAGCAAACACTCATATGCACAAAAGTGAATGAACCATTTTAAAAGGTGACCTTAGATAAGAGCTATATCTAAATAAAGCTGCTGCTTTTTAAAAGAAGGGGAAAACATACTCCTTCCTTTCAACCTTCCACTGCCTGTCAGCGCATCCTCATTGGCCAATTCTCCCCAGAAACCAGAGAGAAAGTAGTCTGGGGTATGTAGTCCCTATGTGCCGAGCAAAATAAGGGTATGAAGTGAGTGCTTAAAGTATTAGCTTGGGTTGGGCGTGGTGGCACATGCCTGTAATCCCAGCACTTGGCAGGCAGATCTCTGTGAGTTCAAGGCCAGCCTGATCTACAAAGTGAGTCCAGAACAGCCAAGGCTACACAGAGAAACTTCGTCTCAAAAAACTGGGGGGGGGGGCACATTATGTTGCCATGGTAACTGTTTTTTACTGTTTAATACAGAAGCAAGCCTAAGTCATTCTGAACTTCTCCTCGGCTACTGTCCCTCACTGAATTGGCTACAGCTAGTGGATAGAGTTTGAAAAAAAAAAAAAATTGCGGGTGTCTCTCCTGGAGATGGAGAGTTTAGAGATTTGCTCTAGAAGCCGGTGTGGTTCCAGCATAGCTTCTACGCTTGCTTTAAGCCCATTAATCGGACTGGGGAGATGGCTCGGTGGATAACAGAGATTTGCCTCTCAAACATGAGGAACTGACTCCAAATCCCCAGAGCCTACCTAGGAAGCCTGATAGCCCTCTAGCACTCCTCCGAGGAGACCGGAGCTGGAGACCGGAGTCCCCCCGAACCTTGAAGGACAGCTCCCCTGCTAGTATGGAATGGCGTTCTCGACAAAGACACCCTGCTTCCAACAGAAGGGAAGGAGACAGGCACCTGACGCTGCCCTCTCATCTTCACACACGCGAACAGGAAATGCCCATAGTCATGCCTACGAATGCACACTTGTGCACACACCACACACACACACACAACAATAAAATGAATACCAATATTTCTTTTATTTAAAGCACTAATTAGTGGTCTCCCGGGGCGGGGGGGAGGGGGGAGAATTGGGTTTGGTAGCGCAAGCCTGTAATCACAGCACAGAGGAGGGAGGGGCGGGACCAAAACGTTCATGGTCATCCTCGGCTGCATTATAAGCGTGAGGCCTGAGTCTATGATTCAGGAGACACTGTCAATAGTAATAATAAACAATAGAATAATAACAATAAACAATAAAAATCAAGTGAAAGTTCTTCATAGGGAACCGGTTTGGATAACGGCATAGATCTGGTGTCCTCTCTGTTGGCAGAGAAACCCGAGGGCCTACGTACAGGTACCCTCATATCTAGCATCTAAGTTCCGAGGCGTTTAGTTTAAGTACTAAAAACAAACTCTTAAACTTTCACTTTGTGGTTGTGTCACTGAAGCCTTGCTGGCCCATCCTTGGTAGCCAGACCACCTAAGGGACCTCACCCTGGTTGTGCAGGTGGACGCCGGGGTGTCTGATGGCTGCTGGGAAAGTAGCTGCTGATCACGTTCATACCGAAATGAAGAGACTTTCATTCAAAACAACGAGAAGGACGCCGTACCTCTGGCTCCCGAGCCTCATCTCACAACAGCCACCCAGGCACTCACAGATGTAAACAGCCCCTTGCTGAGACTACGAGGTACTACCAGGGGCTTTCTGAATGTAAATGAGCTGATGATTCAGGATCCTGTGACCCACGAGTGGGGCAGTCACTCGTCACTCTTCTTATATACCCCTTGGTCCCAGAAGACTCAGAGGGAGGAGCAGAGGTGGGGCAGGGGTGGGAGGGGCTGAGCAGAGGGTGGCTTCTCTCACGACTTAAAAGGGGCTCAAACCACTTCCTCCCCAGACAGGGGTAGCTGGAGACAGAGACAGAGACACAAGCACAGCCTTCCTGTGTGACTGCAGCTGCCCGGAACGCATCATGGACCTGGGTGAGTACACCTCTTCATGTGAGGAGAGGCTGGCTTTTGACACAAAACCAGACTCCAGGCAATGAATGTGGGTTGGGGACAGGGGCTGGGAGGGGTCTCTCCAGAGAAATCAAAGCAGTTGGTGAAATCAAAGCTGCTGGAGGCTGGAGAGATGGCTCAGAGGTTAAGAACACTCGCTGTTCTTCCAAAGGTCCCAAGTTCAATTCCCAGCAACCACATGGTGGCTCATAACCACCTATAGTGAGATCTGTGTACAAGCTGAATGCTGTATAGATAATAAATAAATAAATCTTAAAGAGAAAAAAATGCTTTCAGAGAATGCCTTCCTATTGGCCCAGGCAGGGTGTACCTGCCTTTTCAGTACCAGATGCAACCGCAGATGCCAAGAGGAAAAAGGGAAATGAAGGGTCTTCTGGAGTGGCAGGGAATGAAGAGCGTAGCGGGCTGACCTTGATGACCTGGATGGAACTTGTTCTTGGCTGGTAGTGGTGGAGGGTTTTCTCTGGCACCTCTGGGGACTAAGAAAATTCGAGAGTTCAGGATACCCTGCTCCCTCTCTGAGCCCCTCCTTTCCCTCCTGTTAAGCCAGGATTTGAACCTCCATGCCCACGAGGTTATAAGAAGGCGTGAACTGGAGACAACAGGGTTCTGTGTCATGCAATACAAATGCAAGCTGCAACCTCTGCCTCTCAGTCTCTGTCTGTCTCTGTCAATCTTTCTCTCTCCCTCCCTCCTACACATCCCATTAGCTTTTTGCCTCTTGCAAGAGTGAGTGACTGATGTGGCCCAGCGGGCATTCCACTTAAAGAAGCTATAGCCAGACCTCCAAGCACAGCAGAGCAATCCCCCCCCCAAACACACACACACACACACACACACACACACACACACACACCACAGCCCTGCAGACTGCTCCTCTCTGTGAAAAGCCCTTCTTCCAGCCTAGCCTCCGTGTCTACTACAGCAAAGTGCCAGGGGAGCCCCCAGGAGGGTCTGAGTGGGTAGGCCAACTCCAGACACCCCAGTTACAAATCTTAAACCTCAGCAGCAGTCAGACCCGGCTGAGGCTCGAGGGGCCAGGTTCCTAGAGGGTTCCGCTCACCAGCAAGTAAAGCAGCCCCGAGGCCTCAAAGCCACAAGGGGTTGGCTTTAAAAAGTGAAGGTTCCCTGGCGCTGCCCTCACACGCCGCCCCGCTACACCACAGCCAAGCAGCGCCCTGATCTCTGTCTCCCCTGCCCAGCAGGCTCTGCACCCTGGGTCTGGATCCAGCCGTGGTAACCACCTCTGCTGGCGGTGAGCTCGCGGGAAGCAGAGTTGGACTCTTAATCGCTGCCTCCCAGATGCTTTGGGGTGTAGGGAGAAAATGTTGACGGGATGGATGGATGGATGGATGGATGGATGGATGGATGGATGGATGGA